AAAAGGCGGAAAAAAAGATGAAGAAACAGAGAGAAAAAAAAAAAAAAAAGGAAACCAGAAAAGGCACAAGCGCAGCTCCGCGCCGCCGCCGCGCTGCTGCGGGAGCGGCTGATTCGCTGCGGGCTCGGCAGATTGGCTCCCGGGTTTCCATGGCGGGGCTGCCACTCACTGCCAGCCGCTGCCAATCACGGCGGAGGCTCCGCACCGCCCCGCTCCCCGCCCCGCTCCCCGCCCCGCTCCCCCCGGGCACCGCGACCCCGCCGCCCTGCCCCGCCGACCCGGGCAGGGCACGGCCGCCCGGCCGCCCCGGGAGCGGCGGGATGCGGGCCGGGAGAGGGGGCTCTCGCCGCGGGGTGCTGTCGGCAGGTTCGGGGATAGGACGGCCGGGACACCCCCCCACCCGCCCCGGTAAAGCTGCGGGGTCCGGCCCGGTGATGCTCGCACAGAGCTCGGCGCACCTGCGGGCGGAGAGTGGGATAAAGGCAGAGCTGGGAGATCAGATAAAAAATCTGGCTGCATAACAGTGACAGTGATTCTGGGAGTGTCAGTGACAATGGATGCAGCGGGAGGACCGCAGGGAGAGCCAATATTTAGGGAAAAACTCTCTCCTTTCCCCTGTAAGTGACTTCCCATCTTCGTTATGACGAGGAATTATCTGCAAAGAGCCCAGTGCCCTTCCTCGTTCAACTAAAGCTTTATTTATTTTATTTTGTTAACGTTTAAAACCTTATTGTTTTCGGCTCAATGGTCCTGAATAGACGCCGAGAATAGTCGCGAGGAGTGAGAAGTCATTTGTAGGTCAGGAAAGCGACTTAAAGCAGATTTCGGGAATCTTTTGAAATATTGATCACCTCGTAGTAATCATTCCCCCCGGGCTTTCTTTTTCCCCCCGAGCTCCGAGAAAGCGACTGCGGGGCTGGGTGCGAGGTGAGACCCGGCCGCCTCTTCGGAGGAGCGGGGCCAGCTCCAGCCGTCTCGGGGTGGGATGAAATCACTTTCTGAGCTGCGACGATATGTTTTATTTTAATAGAAAATCGGGGGATAATCAAGAAGCCACACTTTATTTTAAATATAGCTGCTCAGCGGCAATTTCTTCCCGGGAACATTGGGGACTATGCTCGGAAAGGCAGCATATATTTTGAATTAAGCTCAATATGTTCTCCCCTCTGCTCTTTGCAAGGCGTTTTTTTTCTAGAATGCTTGTCAAAAAAATCCCCTCTTAATTTGATATCTTGTTATTGTCTCTTTCCCCCTTCTTCTTTTTCCTTATTGTTTTTGTTTTCCTTTCTTCCCTTCTTTAAGAAACCTCCTTTGCTAGTTGCCCGTAGACCGAAATTAAACAGATTTCCATTTTCTCCAATCATTTCTCCGCAGAAATGGAGCTGGACCGAGGCTCGCCGTCTTTTCTTTAGTATCAAGTACAATTTGTCTTTTGCTTGTGAAGATTTGGTAAATCAGAAGGCAGATAGATAGCGCAGATGGTCGGAGGTGTCGGGTCAGATTATGGTACGCCTCAGTACAGTGCTAAGCTCATTCTGACGGAAAACCCTGATATTATTTTCACAGATCTACACAGTTCACTTGAAAAAAACCCTTCGAGCCATTTACATCATTTATGTGAGGCTCACAGCTAGCGGGATGGAAAAGCTTTCAATACTGCTCATTTTCATAAAACCCGACAGAGCTGGGGAGACATAAAAGCACACACAAAACTCACGAGTTCAGAGACACTCCACAGAAACTTAAAAAAAAAAAAAAAAAGCAAACAACTAAAGGGGAGACTTTTCGACTTCACCTTCACCCAGGTTTGATTTGCCTATCTGCGTAGGAGAAAAAAATATAAATATAATATTTTTTTTTTTTTTTAGTAGGCAAGAGGATAATATAATCTGTAAATATTGCTGGGTGAAGTCCCCTTCCACCTTTCCGTCCCATCACTGTCCAATCCATTAGAGAAAAACAGGAATTTGACCAGCTCAACGAACGATCCCCAATAACCTTTTAGGTTATTGGAAATTTTTAAAGCACCCCAGATCTCCTCAGTATGAGCATCGGGCTTCCCCGTCGAGCAGGTGAGAAGGCGGCGACCCCGGCGGCGCCGGGCGCGTCCCCGCGGGCAGGAGCTGCTCCGCTGTCCCCCAGCCCGCCCCGCCGAGCCCCCGGCAGCGTCCCGAGACCGGAATGGTGCGGGAAAACCTCTGTTGCGGGAGAGGTGGAAGGGGGGAAAGCCTATATTAATGTATAGCTAATTTAGAACGGCCAGATGATGATGATGGTTACTAATATTACTGAAGGGGTCTTTCTTTTTTTCCTTTTTTTTTTTTTCCTCTTTTTTTTTGCTTTTTTTTTAAAGTATGCACATGATCTGGCAAGGGAGTTACTGGGCTGCAGCCTAATGACCATGAACAGAGCGAGACAGGCTCCATAATGAAAGCCAGGACTGTAGGCTAAAGAAATGAATCCTCATTAAGAGCAGCTCGCAGGGGCGAGGGGCTGCCCCCCGGTTCCCCAGCCTTTGTTCCCCAGAAACCGGCCCGGATGGGGCGATGCTGGGAGGGGAGAGGGAGAGAAAGAAAAGGCGACACCGAAATAGAACCAGGAACCTTGTGTTAACCACTTAAAGGGTGACCTGAAAGGGGAAAGGGGAAGCCAGCCCAGCTCCAGCAGTTTTGCACCCTCTCCAGCTGGGAACGCTGGGGTCTGTATTTGGGAAATGGCACAGTTCAGTGGGACTGGCTTGTCCCTGTCTGGGGAAGGTCCTGGGGGCTCCTTGCTCTGTGCCACCAGCGCAGAGAGAGAGAGAGAGATCAGCTCCAACGGGGCCTTTCCATTCCCTTCTAACCGCTCTGGGAATTCTATTCACGGTCGGGACCCCGGCTGATTCCTCGCCACTCCGCTGCTCCGCAGGAGCTCCACGATCGGGCCGGGCCGAGCTGGTATTTCCCTCCGGAGCGCGACCCGCAGCGACCCCCAGGAGCGACCCCATTCCCGTGGGACACGATGCCGCGTCCGGGAAAGCCGAGTCTCCCGCGGTGCCCAAGCTCCTGGCTCAGCCCCCGTGCCTTATTAGAGCTGCCTGTGAGCCTTGGGGGTGCACTCGGGCGTGTCTGCTTAGTTTCGGCCCTTTCCCCTCAGTTTATTCTTCCCCCCTCCGCCCCATAAAATAGAGACACCACTCGTGACATTAACAGCCGGCAATGACAACTACTTTAATTTAGGTTAAGGCTCTGACCCTTGCCACAGGTAGAGTTTATCCTGCCTAGACGAACCCACTGGAGAACAAGGAAGAGAATTACACATGAAAAAAAAAAATCAAAAATACGGCCAGCCATCCATAGCATCCCGATGGCCTGCATGGACACAGTGTGCTCTCTGGCCTCAGGGCAGGGCATGTTCTCCCTTTGCCAAAGCAAAAATGTGAGCAATATACCTAAACACCGGTGTATCAGCAGTCATCAGCTATCCTGGGTCCAAGAATCTGGCTCCCCAGGGATTATTTATCTAGATGAAGCTTCCAAACGCGCAGAAGAGGTGCGAATACATTTTAAAACATTTAATTGACGTTAAGAATTTCCTTAAAAAATAGCCTCGGGAAGGAGAAGCCCCACTTTAAAGTCTCGGTAGGATTGTCGGAGATTTGGGAGTTCATTAAGGGATGCTGGCTGGGAGAGCCGGAGCGCACGCAGTCCCTCGGAGGAGTACCTGGAAAACCTGGGATTTTGTGGCCTTGGATGGGTGTGGGCAGGACCCGGCCTGGTGCCGTGGAGCGCTGGGGGACAGGCAGGGCTGGAGAAGGCACCGGGAAGTCGCGCTGATCCCTGCTCTCCCCGACGATGGCTCTTACCCCGCTCCCCCGGAGCAGGTGGGAGGGATGCTCAGCCCGAGGACAGTGCCCGCTGTCGCCCATAGAAAAGGTTCCTGGAAATGTCAGCCCCTCTGGGGAGCAGGGACGGGGTTTTTGGGAGCGTTTCCCACCGAGTTATCCTGGAGCTTTAGTGGAGGGAGGACCTCAAGCTCAGGATGCTGTGCTGGGGGGTGCTTGGTAGGGAAACGACACACTTACCTTATTCTTTTTAAGAGCGACATAATTGTTGAAATAACAACCATCAATGACTCATTTTCTTCTTATAAATAAAGTTACGTTTAAAGCTGTAATCTGCTTGATATTAGCAAGAGTGAGCAGGTTGGATCCTCACTTAAGTTAATGATACCTGTTGAAAGCACCAAAGGGACTATAAAATGCTGTCGGACAGAGAGAAATGTTTACCCACTTTCCACTCTCACACGGCATATTCATTAAATCTCTGTCCTTTGGCATATTAATTAGGCTACTTTTAATATGAAATATCAGGCCGTGGCTGGTATATCTGATATTAGAATAAAGACACGATGAAAACTCAAAAACCTTGAATTATTTTGAGATGGGTAAGGAAAGATGTTTCTTGTACAGAGCTCTGGTCAAGGCTATGGCTGCAGATGGAAAGGATCTATCGCCCCAAATTTATCTTTAGTTCTCTTTAGGTTGTACCATGAACTTGGTTCTACAGTCTAAAATGCAGCGGGATTTGTTCGGCTTCTGCCTTTACCTGCAGTTAAATACACAACACCAATTCTCCTTTTACACTGATGTATTCACATAAAATCTTCAATCTGTTTC